ATAGCCTTCCTCCTCCCTCCTCCCTCCTTTCACGCAGCGCATCCCCTCCCCCCTCCTCCCTCGTTCCTCTCGCCATAGACTCCCTCCTCCCTCCTCGCCCTAGCCTCCCTCCTCCCTCCTCGCCATAGCCTCCCTCCTCCCTCATCGCCATAGCCTCCCTCCTCCTTCCTCGCCATAGCCTCCCTCCTCCCTACTCCCTCCTCCCTTCTCGTCGTCCTCGCCATAGCCTTCCTCACCCTCCTCTCCCTGCCCCTGCCCCCAAAACACACATGCAATGTCATGCATAGAAATTAGAAACGAGGCCGGATATCGGCAGTACTCGAGATCGCAAGAAGGCACCGAAGTCAAAAAAAAAAAAAAAAAAAAAAAAAATTCAGTGTTTTTTTTGCATGCCCGGGGTACCCCGGGCGTGGTCCCCCCCCTGGCAAGGCGCATACCATAGTTTTTTTTCGGAGTTTTGGGGCTTTCTTTTTTCTTTTTTTTTTTTGCTGGGACCTTCCCTGGTCCTTGCACGGGCTGGCCACCCGGGACCCGGGCGGCCCAGCTGGTAGCCTAGGCAACTTCTCAACTTTTGCCCTTTTTTTCTTCATTTTTCTTTTTTTTTTGGCATTTGAGTCATGATTTGACAATGACTGGGATTTTTTTTTTTTTTTTTTAACTCACCTTTCTGATAAAGATTTGTGAGAAGCTTTTTAACACCAGGATCTTCAAATATTACCTCCACCGTAAAGAACAAGGCTTCCTTTATTCAGAAAAAACAAAGAGGGGAAAACAAAACAAAAAAAAAAACACATCATCACAAATCCAGTTAAAAAAGCAGCAGTCAATACACATAAAAATACAGATTTTCGTATTTTACTATAATTTTAGTAATTTAAATTTTAAATTCTTTGCACATTTGGTTTGATCAGTTAGCCAATAGAGAAACGAAATGGCCTCATGCAAGCAGAGGCCACAGATGCATATATCAATTTTATCAGGGGAAAAAAAAAAAGGCAAAATAGAAAAAAGAACAGGCCTCATGCAAACAGATGCCAAAGATCCATCATATATCAATTTTATCTAAATTTATCCCCCAAAAAAAGACAAAAAAAAGAATAAAAAAACTTGAAAAAAATCACTAGCATTGAAAGTTGAGACAAGTTCAAAATTGTCAAACAGCATTCCATTGTTCTAAACAGTCAGATCAAGAAATGACAAGAATCAAGAATCTTCTTTTTTTTTTTTAATATTTCTATTATTTCATTCCTTTTCGGCCCGGCCCGGCCCGGCAAGTAATCCCAGCCCACTCTGGTAACGTAGCTGAGGATCATCTCGAAATTCGTAGCCAAATCCAAGCTTTTTTTTTATTATTATTATTTTTCAGGGGTGGGAGGCAATCCGGACAGTCTGGAGTAGTCCAGAAAGAGGTCCGGTCGGACATCTAGAATAGGTCCAGCCAGACGTCTAGAATAGGTTGGTGTCCATGTGGTCCAGATTGCCTATTCAAGACGGACATCTAGACTAGGTCCATCTCGAAATTATTGTCTTGTCCGGCATAACCATGATTGACAGACTTTTTTAACTTCTAAACCCTCCAACGTTCCAAACCAATTACAAAACAGTTTTCAAAATTCTAAGGCGAGACAAGACAAGAAAGGGATCCCGGCCCCTGGAGCACTACAGAGAAGGGGGATTCCATTGCAATCAGACTCGTTTTCAAACACACTTTTCACACATGTAAACAGTAACGCAGCACACTGGCGACATGCGCCCACTCAAAACTCAGAGATATGGTTTTCAGATACGAGTTCACTCCCAATTGGCTATGGCGACCTCAGCGCACAAACATCTCACTGTTCACATACACTGGATCACCCTGGATATCCCACACGCATCACTCTAACACTCGAGCACACAC